TTAGGGAAGGCAGATGCAGCGTTTACTCTAAGCCTCATCATAAACGTTAACCTGTGCCAGAGAAGCAATTGAAAACCCATCGTTGGACCAAGGATATATTTACACCACAAAATTCTTTAACTTTTTAGCATATTCCCATAGGTATAATGCAACAGATTAACATCAAATTGTAAAACTTTTCAACTTGGAAACACAGAAAGTGGAACCCACTTACTTGACAACAATTTAGGAATCTGCTGCTGCCCACTTAGAAGCGGCCTGCTGTATGGGTTCCCATAAGCTCCAAGTGGTACTGCATTGGCATACATGGCTGGCATCCCTCTTTTTTTTTAAGAAACGGAAAGAAGAAAGAATAGGATGTTTTCATAAATGCCATCTTATAAAACAGCTGCTACCCAGTTCATCAAATATCACAGCTCTCTCCCGTGCATCAGTGGAGATGTGCACAAACACAATGCAGTGACTCATTTACAGATGAGGGTCCCAGGCGCATCACGAACAAAGCATATGCTCTGTGAGCTGGTCCCAGGGAAAATTCTGAAATTTCTACATACAGAGTATGTAGAAAAACGTATTTCCTGCAAACAGTGTAAGAGTTCACGTAAACTGAACTGCTGTCACATTTCCCAAGAAGGTGAATTTGTGCCCTAATTTCATAATATTTGCGCCTTAATGTTTGCTAGGCCTCCATTGTTTTTCCCGCATAGAACTATATTCATCTGAAGACTTCAAAGCTCACAGTGTCTGCCACCACAGACTTTCTTATTCTGAAGTAATGATTTAATAAGACATCATGTAATCAATAACACAGCTATGCTTCTTTGCAACTATGAGATGGAAGAACAGAAGGTGATTCTCAGGTGTTGCAGTGCAATAATGATGCTTTCTAACATATGAATGGAATGAACGGTGTTGCTTTCTCTTTTTCCAACTCCAGTAGAGCCATACGATGAAGAAAAAAATATTTTCTCTTCCTAAAGAGAATCATGTTCAGTTGCTTATACAATTTGCTTTAATTCAATAGCATCCTTTGAAACAGTCTCTAGTTTGGCCCTGATAGACGTATGGCTCCCTGCCATTCCCAGTAAGAAGAAAAAAAAAAAGAATTCATCCATAATTTTCCTAATACATAACCCAAACTCATTCTCTAACCTTGTACTTTGAAGCATTCTTGTACCGCGCTAGAGTGCTTGAGAAAGCTATTTGGATTTGTATTTGGAGAACTAGTAAGAAACAGACTTCAACAATGCCTTGAACAAAGACAATCAAATGGATTGTTATGGTGCAGTACATGAGCTTTGAACAAAGGTATTAAGATATAGCCTTCTTAAAGGCATGGAAGACTTTCCTGTCCTTGTAACTGCTTTAAGTATCACTTGTGTCCAACATCCTCATTGTATCTTCTGTACTTCAAGCAAGTACCCACCAGACAAGTTGAAAAAACAACAGGAAAGTCAATTAGAAATATTGTTTAAAAAAAGAAAAAAAAGGAAGGAAGCAAGGCATCACTATAAAAACCCACTTATTTAAGGATACTATCATATATAATTTTCATCAATACTGAATTTAAATATTGCATGCCAAAGTTTCCAACATGTTACACAAGCATCTAATCTCTAGCAGCTTTTCTCCCTCTGCCTCCCCTTTTTCTTAAGCAATAAAGGAACGTAGGGACATCTCAGCACGGCAAATAATAGTACTGCTGTCAGTTTTACTCACCCTAAAGTTCTAAATGCTGACTGGTCCAAATGAACTGGCTTTCTGTCTCGATTAAAACCAAGCTGTGGTCTCCAAGGCCTACCATCATTGTTGGTTTTTTCCCAGTCTCCTGGCTTAAGGACTGGAGGAGGTTTCCTGAGTATGAAAAAAAGCTCCATAAATACCTATCAGAGAAAATAAACAGCCTAATGAAAGACAAATGAATTATCTGAAAACTGACAACTCATACTTACTTTGCACCAGGTAACACTGTAGCCTTGAAAACAAAGTCTTCATCAAATTGTGGATCTTTGAAAGAGATACTAGAAGAAAACATCCGAGGATTAGGTTTACTTGATAATTAAGACAAGCACAACCAATAAGTAGTAGCTGCTCTATGAAGGAAGTGAGGCACACAACAGAAAAGACAAGACACAAGAATCCATGATTTAAACTGCAAAGTGCTTTTCTTACACATAGCTATATTGACTAGACACTCTTGGATAGTCTCCATCATTTTCCACAGGGGGACCGTTTTCCCTTGTATCAAGGGCCAGTTCAAAAACAAGTTTAATGTTTAGAAAAAGTTTCCTTTGTGTGGTGACAAATCCCCAAGTCAAAGCACTGATTGACTTGCTGTTCAAATTAAGTTCAAAGGATACCACAGCATAGACAGGAAGGATATCAGTTTGCTATGCAGTCTAGAGAAACACGTATAAAACTTAAGAGTGGAAATTTCCTGGGAGAAGGTTAAGCACGAAGTTATACTCTTATAATTTAATACATTAAAAAAAAAAACAAAGAAAAAAAAAAAAAGAAAAAGCAGCCGGAAAAGGTGGCATCCTCTTCCTTTGACTCTGCTCACGAAACAAAGGGAAAAGTTCAGTAAGGACCATTATTTATTCCTACGCCTGCATATTCTCCCCTCTAGATAAAGAGGGGAGAGTATAGAAAGGCTAAACTTCCTTGAGGGAAAAATGAAAGGGTTAAGGAGAACAAGTCATTAGCTGAAAGGAAGCTTTGCAGCTGCATGTAGTTCCAGTGGAGGGACATGCACCTATTTTCAGGGACGTCACACAGACTCTGCATTCTGAGCTGTCCAAGGGAGCTGTCCTAGCCCAGTACAACAGTCACCAGAACTACTATTAGAGCAACAAGTGGCTGAAAGCTTCATTTTTGCTGGTACAGCTCATCATATGGCTTCGCTTTAGGCAAATTCATCCACACACCTAGGAACTCCAACCTCCTGGTTTAAGTATCCATGTCTCAGATAGGTCCCACCACAGACATCTTTGAAGCATCAGTACCAACCTTCTTCTGTTCTCGCACTATCTACCATTTGATACAGAAGAATACTTGGGATGCCAAGAAAGATAAAAGCAAACTACTCATCAGAATGCTCTTCTAGCTGAAATACATCCACTTTTCAGCACAGAAAATGAATTAGACTGGAAGGAAGAGAATAATGTGATTTTGGCTAAATTTTCCAGGAAATCAAAAACTGAAGAGCAGAACCGTGATTGCTCCTACTATCTCAGGAGACAGGAAGAAAAGTCTTTGCAGTAGAGAAATGGATGAAAACAATCCAAACCTCCTGACAACAGTGGATGGAAAAAACACAGCTACCTTTAACTTGCCGCTCAAAGTAATTAAATCTCCATTTCAGAACCTCCTTTCAACAATATCCAGACAAGCCACAACTTAGCATTTCTTACTGTCTATAAACAGTTGTACTAGCTGAATCAAGTTATGCCTCCTTGGAGAAAAAGAGTATGCAGATACATCACAAGTGATATTCAGTGCCTCAAGTATCTTATGCAGCTCAAGAAATGAAAAGTAATAGGGATAAGCATTAGATGTCCATTATACCGTGCCAAATTGAGAACGATACACAACACACAAGACCTACAGAAATTTGCGGTCAAGTGCATGACTAATTCAATTCTTCTGTTACTGTAAGATTTATCCTTGGAAACTCTTCATTGTTCTTTATTCATTATGAAATTTCCTATTACTCTCCCAAATACCACATTTAGGCTAAGTCAGTATTACTCCTATACATGCTGCAATAAAAAGGAAGACAACAGAAAAAGAAATGTCATTGCTACTGCTGAAGCTTTGATTAGGTACTTCTTCCTCTTTGAAGTCACCTTTCCCACATAAAAGTCACATAGCCTAATAGATTAAATCAGATTCTTAAAGGGACCACCAGGTACCACCAGTCCCCTGCGCTAGAACAAGCGAAAACACCTGACATTCAAAGGCCTGAAATATATTAGTAGGTGGATTCATCATGAGACCACCAACGTGCAGATGGAAAATAGTCTCACTTGATTAGGAGAAATCCTCTGTTAAGCAACAGTTTTAAGACAGGGAACAGAGCAATGATTAAAATAAAAAGAGTAGTGGCCAAGGAGAGATCCCCTTTTATTACTAAACCTACAGAGAGAGAGTTGACTTGCAGAACGCAGAGAAGTAGGTCCACAAAGTATCTTGTCCTCTAGTATGAGGAACCTTTTCTGGCTCACGAGGAAGCTCTTTGGTTGCAGCGTCTTTGCCAGGTAACACTTCCAGGGCAGGGAATCTGCCCCATCAGGTAGAGAACAAGGAAACAATTCCTCATCGCTGGGTCTTGTTAAACACATGAAGCTCATGTTCCCAGATATCCTCTGGGAAATGCAAGGAAGAGGGATGGATAAAGATCCAAGGAGTAAAAATCAAGGCCCAGAGAGCTTTTAATCAATAGCCAAATCTGTCTCAGGGGCTTGGTCTCATAGAAGTTTAGTTGTATTTTTAATTTAAAGGGCTTGATGCAGAATACTAAATTCTATAGGTATTGCTCTTGGCTTGCCAAAGGCCCAGCAGTAACAACAGCGAACGAGTGGAAAAGAAACAGTGGGAAAGATGCATTTTTGCTGAAGGCATAAAACATACTGGGTTTGATGCACTGAGAAACAACCATTTCAGACATCCCTCCTATAGGACACACAACTACATACTCTGCTTAACCACCTGACACACAACACAATGTTTTGGCTTTAATCTTCACAGAGAAGCAGCAACTTATAAGACAAAAGCTTGAATTTTCATAATAGCTGGATTCTGCAGCTAATTCAGTACCTCAAAACACCAGATTAAATGGGATTTTGATTGGTATATTTTGCCATTGCATTTCCAAGCCAGAGTCTGCTTACCTGATTGCAGAATTTTGTGTAAGATCACGTAACATCGGCACGGGAGACTCCACTGTCCTAGTAAAGAGGAAAAATTCTGTCAAAATGTAATATATTTCTCATCATTGGCTCCATTTTCTCTGTTGTTATCACTCATATTTCTCTGTCAACTAAGCCTATGACAAAGATAAATTAAAGGGGTTTGAAAATTAACTTGTCTTCTCCCTAAATCAAATAGCTCTAGAAGCAGTGGAATTACTGAATCCTTATTCCTTACTGATTTTACTCCTGCATGTGATTTTCCATGTGGATTCTGCAGTATCTAACAGAGGATATAACACACTTCCCATTACCTAGCGACCTGTTTACAAAACCCACAGCTATTTTCTATCTCAGAAACCTCTCCGTATTGCTAAGATGTGATTAAAACAGTAAGCAGGTTCCAAGAGGGCAGAAGATGACCAGAGACAGACACACAGACAGCTTGGACATGTACAGACCTGCTTCGTTAGGGGGAACAAAAAGAGGCTTTAAAGGAAAAAACATTTAGCAGAGGAATTTATATGGTGCTTAAGAGCTTCCTTTCTCAATGAGGCTTAACAGGCTGATGTGCAGTTGCTTCTTGTCCCTTTTTCCTCTCTCCTCTCCAAGAAACTATACCCCCTTCGTTTCAAGCAGACGAACAACATGCTAAAGAAGGTTGCCCTTATCAGTCAGAAACGACGTTCCTTGGTTCATGCTACTGCACACAGCTGACGTGTACCCATGCACAGAGATCATTAACTGCACACTTGCTTGCCAGAACGATTTGGATCAAATTCAGCCAAGTAAGACATACTTTGAAGTGGCAACATAAATGCTTGCTCATCTTCGGGGAATTCCTAGCAAACGATTCTTCTCTAGGCAAAAAACATATCCCATTTCTCACGCTCTCTTTAGGATAGGTAATTCCATCAATAATTTGCCAACAGCTCATAGCTGCAGCAACAGGCTCACTCACAGAAGCACAAGGAAAACAAAAATTCAACAAGAGTCTTGTCTATCCTCTCAGTCCCCAAAGCTTTCTATTCAAACTTTCAGAGCCTTCTTCTTCCTGTACTGCTACCCCCAAGAAGAGCTCTGACTTGCTCATATTCTTCACAAGCCATGACAAGACTACAGAAACTTATCTTAGTAAGTGTGACTTAGGATATATTGCCTAACAAAATCAGAGCGTTTGTGCATTTAACACAAATGAGCTACTGAACACCTGTTTATGTCTCTAAGCAAAGTTAAATAAATGAATACATAACCAACACTGTGAAGACTACAGTAATTTCTCAAACTAAATGAATTATCCAGAAAGCAAAAAACATTAACTTTTTTGTACATCTGGGAAGGTACATTCCTGAATTTAGTGTTATAGCCTAAATGGAAAACAGCAAAGTATCTCTCTAATCTGCACTTTTCTTTAATGCAACTAGAATTGCCTTATACAAAGCAGATACTAAATTTTAACAGCATACACTATTGGAAGTTACATCAGAATGGATTAAATTAACATTCATACAAAAGCAGAGATCAAAACAATATGATATCACTAAAAAAAAACACTGATTACTACTACTTTTTGTACATAGTCCCTGTTTACTTACTGAAGCTTATCAAACATTACCAAATACATAAACAGCCTTTCATAGACAAAAACGATCAATTCCAAGAAACTGATTCATCAGCAATCAAATGCAATTATTAGCAATTTAAAGATTTCTGATGCTATTTTATTAAAAATCTAGCTCTGAAATAGGCAGACAATAGGAACAAAGTTTTTTTTTTTTCTTTTCTTTTCTTTCTTTAAACTTATAGTGATAATAGCACACACCACCTACTTTGAATCCTAGTGGAAAACATGCTTAGTCTCAGAACTAAATGCACTGCCTTGTCAGGAGTTCTAGGTTCCTCATTGTGGGCACAAAGAGATCTTTGTCCAGATGTGGACATAACCAAAGGAAGTATCCTTCAACATCAAAGAACCCATACTGAAAGCCATACTCACTGATCTGGAAGAACTGCATTATCATTCAGCGTAAGTTTTCCCTGGATTCCATGGCACAGTTCTGGTGGAATATCCACTGGCTACGGAAAAAATAATGTCTCAGCTTAAGTGCATTACCAGACCACCGCTCTCACCAGCTACACAATCCCCTAAGAACAAACATAACCTACCTCGTCATTTTTGGACTTGTATTGCTCCACAATAAAATCACAAAGTGGATGATGCTTCCCAACAAAGAGAACATCACCGCCAAGGCTATTTCTTCTATCTAGAAGAGATGAAGAGAATAGGATGAGAGTTCTGAACAAAGAAGAATGAAGGAATACAGCGGATCAGCACTATTTTGTTGAGTACTCCCCCAATTCCCCTCCAGAGGAAAGTTTTGGTTTGATTTAGGAGAAACTGCAGTGCGCGCCTCTTGGGGGCTGACTTGCTCTTGCTATGAAGTGGCGTGTTTTCTGGCAGAAGGAGAGTCTCTTTGGGGAGATATTACCATTGTTTATTCAAATACATTTATTTTTTGTACCCTATGAACATGAAGAAAATGAAAAAAAAGATATTTTCATTCTGTTCTATATGCTTACAGAAGAGGTTTTGTAAAGCTTCAAAATAAGATTAGCCTGTCTACCTAGCAGTTGGGATGCACCGAGTATGAAGTAGCAGAGATGTGGAGGGAAAGAACAAACCAGCTTCCCAGGGTGCTTTTTCACAAGCCACTAGGACCTGGAATGTGAAGTCTAGGCTCTTCCCCTTAACATCTAGGGGATCAAAAAGCCAAGCGAACGTTTGCAAGCTGCCAGCTTTGGTGGCTGACTAACTTCAGGATTTTTTCCCCCCAGGAGCAGCAACATCTTTCATTCTACAATACCAAGTATAACCATGGGATTATGCTTCTTCATTTCACCTGCTCAGAAATCCAGAACACATGGGTAAACATGGTAATTTTTCCTCCAAATTTGCCTAAAAGATTCAACCAGAAGTATCTAGTTCAGGAATCACAGAAAACCAAACCTGACAAATTCCAAACAACCACCTTTGGTCTTCTGTGCAAGTCAGGACTCGTAGTGAAAACACAGCTGACGTGATATAAAGCAGAAACCAGATACCTTTCCTGCAATTTTTTCTAATTCTCTGCTCCCCTTCAAAAAGGGGCGAGACTCAAGATGCATTCGAATGCTATAGTGGTAGACAGGGTACATAAGACGGGAAGACTGGCCAAGAAGATAAACAAGGTGAACAAGATAAATATGGGCTCACACAAGGACAGAGAGATGCAACCCATTCCTTCTTAAAGGAAAAACTGCTTAAAACTTGGCCAAGTCAGGATAAAATCCCTACATTTAAAAATCTCGGCAAGACCAAGCAAAAATGATTCTTTGGGAAGAAAAAGGATATCAGAAGACAATTCCTCATTCTGACCCTGACAACTTTTTAAAATTACTCTATGTTTCCTCCTGTCTTGTGGCATTGTACCTTGTCCTACGTACCTTAAACCTGCTTTCACCTCGCTCCTCTTCCTCCCACTAGGCCTACAGCCTCACTGGTCACAGCCACTGTGTTCTGTTCAATTAGATGGTCCCAGATGGAAGCTCGAGTTGCAGCAAAGCCGGACCACTATCTGCAGTTTTTGACTGGCTCCTCTTTTCCTCCCTAATCTCTTTTAAATGCTGAAGACCCAGCCAGGCTGAAAAAAAATCTCCCAAAATAGCTTCACCTACAAGAACCAATCTATTAGACTGGTATCAAGTAGAAAGTTACTTGTAAAATTGCCTATACAAGCTTAACAGAAAACTTTCTGTACCATAAGCTGGTATTCTCTGCCTGTTGGTCAGAGACTAGGCTATATGCCTATCAAGTTTTGCCGTCAACTCTTACCTCAGAAACTGAGTTTACTCTTCCGATTGCAAGATATGCTGCTAAAAAAATACTTTGGCAGTATAGACCGGTGGAAATATTTCATATGATTAAGCTGCGCTCTAGTTTTCAGGTTAAGTCTTATGCAGGCCTACTTCATTAAAATAAATATGTTAAAGTTACAAAAACAAACCCATGAAGGATCGTTCCAATTACCAGCACCATCCATTGAGAAGAGGATGCAGCTTAGCATAATCAAATCAAGCAAACATCTATTGTATCTTGTTCATCTAGGGTTTAATGCTACGTGAAACACAGTAGTAATAACAAGTCTTAGTGAATACACAATCACTATGATGCATCACAATTCTTACTTTCTTCAGGAGTGAGGTCAGGATAGACTTCTTCCAGGGCGGCTCTAAGACGTCGCTCATCAACAAACGGCAACAAAGCAACACCTAGCAAAAACAAACCATTACTTTTCACGCTCTCCTTCTAGTGAAAAGATTCAAAAGATAGCAAAAAAATCACTTAACTCACGGAATTACCATAAATAATCTTTGCTACACACAAAATTCAAAGCTAAACTTTGTATGCGGTCCTCCAAAACAATTAAAGCCTTTTTTTTTTTTGTGGGTTGAGGCGGGTAAATGAGCTTGAGCATTCTTGCTCTGTTTGGGAGAAGAGAGGAGAAGGGGAAAGGAAGAATGGTGTGAGGGTTTGGGGGGGGAGGAAAAAAAAAAGATTGTTTTCTGGATGATTTAAACCAGCAATAGTTTGCAAAACGGTGGGTGCAAACAGAGCATTACATCATATAAGTACCCACGGTGTCCTCAAATATTGGTATCCAAAGCTAAATTCCATGACAAAGTTCTTGAAACCAAGCTGGACCTGCAAAGGTTACACCCTTGAAATAGCCCAAACATCTCAATTTAATACAGATACTGTGGTACACTACCAAGTCAGCCTGGGTCCCGCAAGCCAAGCGACTTGCATTCGAGTGCTGAAACCTAAATGGCAGCCCCAACCCACTGCACGGGACAGGGACCTAGTCCTAAGCCCACGATAGGGCAGCCCTGAAAAGACACCAGCATGAAAAGCTCCGATAAATTCTTTTACCCAAGAAACAACCTTTGAACAAGTCACAAAAAATATAATGTTTTCAAAGGTTGTCAGCTTGCAGACTGGGTGGGGGGCAGTTCCACAGCAGCACAGGTGGAGAGGAGACATGCATCTTGGAGCTCTCATCCCTTTTCCTCCTCCTAAACCTACTTTTTCCGTCCCCACATCTCTGGGTAGACGCTCAGGAGCAGTAACCACTACCATAGCTGCTTTTAGGAACAAGGTGAGCTCAGTAAGATACTCACCATTTGCCTCATTTGCTAAAGATACTCTCCTGCTAGAACTCAGTTCTACTTTATTCAAATTAATTGATTAAGAGACAACAATGGAAGAAACCACTCTGCCTAGCTTCGGTGACAAGGAGATTTGAGCATTATCCATTAGGGATTATTCATATTAGCTATTAATTTTACTCCAACATGGAGGCTCCTCTCAATATCACAATTCTTTGCTAAGCAACCACATCTCACTTGATGACATTTGTGTGTGCTCACTCCTCATCGTATTGGATAAAAACGAAAAACATCACCTTCCCTGGTGTGCTCTAATATTTGTTTCCTTTTATTATCAGCTCCCCAAAAGCACCAATAAATTTGCTATGAAAATACTCCTAAGATAAAATATCTCGTTTATTATATGTTAAAATCTGGAGTCACTATTTTAGCTTTATTTGATTTCCCTTACCGTGACCACTGGAGCATTTCTTGACCAAGGTGACAAAAAAGGGTTTCTACTAACTGGCATTTGCAGAGTTGTGTATTTGTGTCTGTACCAGTTTTATCAGCAGGCAGATCTCGGACACTTTTGTCATTAAATTCTAAGGTACAACAGTCACAGAGACTTTGGCCTTCTACAAACATATTCCCTATCTACAACTCGGTCTTCATGAAATACTTTTGTTTCCTGAATTAAAGCTTTACTTGACTTTATTAAAACAAACCCCTACCGTCTTGGAGCTGGGGTGGAGGGTGAGGGGAACAGCCCTAAACTTTTTATTTCAATGTAATTAAAGCAGAAGCTTGTAGTCTCTCCTAACCAAGACAGTTAGGAACAAGCCACAGATAAAGTGTTAAATACATCAGAAGCTTAGCTGAATCAAAATATCATTCAGCCTATGTAAAAGAACCAGGAGCAGCAGAGCTTCTGCTATCCCCAAGCACACCAAGCGGGAAAAGCCGCACTGTTCTTCCTTACAAAGTATGGGAGAGCGATCACCACGCAGGCTGACGCCTGCTTAATCAGAGGCAGCAGCAAACCTCAGTTGTGTTCAAACTCCAGCTGGAACATAACTACCTGCGAGGGGAGCAGTGCTAAGCCTACCCTGGAAGACAAACGACTTATGTTCACCTTCACAACACACCGCTGGAACGGTGACAAGTCTGGGAAAGTGTTCAAAACCCAGGCAAACGCAGAGAGGATCAGTAATAAGCTTTCAGAAACATAAGCGTGTCTTTAAAAGGAAGATCTTCAAACACTTCCTTGAAAGCACAGGTATATCAGATCCTTCTAAATCAAGACAGCCAGTACTTCCAGCTTGAAAAATATGTCTCACAACTGCCTCTTCAGCATGAGAATTCCAGATGTTAATCCAGAACAAGTAGCTTACAATGATTCATTTAACGCTAAATTGCAAAGTAAAGACTACAAAAGTAAAATCACGGAATACCAAAGTCATTTGGAAGCCACTTCAAACATTACTGCTTTAAATTGTAAACTTGATATTCAGGCAAGGCAAAAGGACTAAGATAACACGCCCCATAACATTTAAACCTATTCTCTTTGATTTTTGGAATACTATTAGGAATAAGATATTAGTGTGTTTAATTGTGGCTTTTTCAAAACATAGGCAAACTGACTATTAAAATATATCTTTCTGAACAGCATTAAAAAGTGTAAGCCTAAATCAAACCCAACACCTTTCTACTGCAGCAATGTTACCATCCTATCCCACTAAAATGTAAATTGGCAGGCAGTTTTGAAATGTTCTTTAGACAAAAATCAATATTAAAAAAAGAGAATATATGTAGCCTTTAGGACTGCTACCTGTCTGGCAAAAGTCCAGAACACACACTTCATTTTACAGCAGTATAAGATACTATTTTGCCAACTGTCCCTAACCTTCTGTTAACGTGCTGCACCAGACCTAAAAAATTACGATGGGGAAATAAATGAGCACAATACACAGGATAATCGGACGCAACCATCTTGAAGTATTTCTGACAACTCCACAGCATCTTCTCTGACCTATTAGCTGTCCTGACCTATACACTGCCTTCCCAAAAATCAGTGTTTTTTGGGGCAACTGTTCTGTTCTAGCGTTTGTCTCTGCACATATCCAATATTCACCTGTGTTAAGTGACTCTCTCCACATCTTGTTTTTCCCTCTCGTAGCAGCAGACAATTGACCTGCTCCCAAGATTTATTATGCTGACAATTTGAAAAAAAATCCTATCTTGTTTCTTCCCCCCATCCAGGTGTCCACTTCTTTTTGGATTGCCTCTGTTCAAGCTTTCACCTTTTTGTCAGGTTGAACTCTGGTATTTTTGTCCTTCAGCATCCTATCTGGGTCTTCCACACTATTACTCTTACATAGTGCCATCATAGGTCATAACAACCATCATTACACAGCTGACAGTCAATGCCTACTATACAGTAGGCAATTGTTATAGTAGGAAATTTCCTTACTGAGTGCAAGTTCCAACTGATGAACTCTTCTATCTACATATGCTAACTACTTAAGTACAGGTCATTTGGAGCTGAACTTCAGTCTTCCACATTAGACTTGTCCTTCTCTGTATAAACAGTCAGTTTGTATGTCTGTACCTCCAGGTACTCAAACATGCAACTCTCTCAAGTTACGCAGGAGCCCGCTAATCCCTAGAGTGAAGTACGGAGGAAGAATGGATCTCCTGGCACAGATCTGGGGCCCTATCTCTCTCCCTTTATGTGTAGGTTGGAGGCTGGTATTTTCACTTTGCTAGTTTTCTCTTCTCATTCTTTGGCAGTAGCACAAAAGTTCTCTCTAATTTTATTAGGAATTACCATGTCTTACAGAAAAAACACTGCCAGAAGCTTTAAGAGTCAATAATAAAGGTAGAACAAGCTAGTCATTCTAAAATAGTTACACAGGCTAAGAAGAGGGGGAAGAATAAATAGTTTTTAAATATATATGAGAGATGTTACAGTTCCCTACTGGCTGAATACCAGATTTCAAATTTGACAGGTCATTAAAATAAATATTCTCTTAAGAAAGAAAAGACTGCACTGAATACTCTATTTTTTCATTCTTTGTCTGCATCCAAATAGAGAGATATCTCCAATAACATTTTTCACAAGGTAATAACGAGCCACTGATTGAATAAGATCCATTAATTACATTCCAAGAAGACAAAAGACAATGACATAGTAAGGCTGACAAAAATAGAAAAATGATTAATCTAGTTCAGGACAAATTAACAAATCTAGAGTGACTGCTGAAATTACTACTAATCATTGGCTGATCTTAAGTCAGTTACCAAATCATAATTTGTTCTTCATATAAATTTATTTTGAAAAATATAGCTGTGGCAAAGTACTTTCCCTGTACCCAAAGTAACAGAAGCAAATACAATCATAAACCTTGTTTGACATTATCTCACTACGATCATTTTCCATTTTCCTCCCATTTTCACACAGATATGACTTAGGACAGATACTATAATTCAAAAGAAGAAAGTTGCAATTTCACCTTGCCAAGCGTATTTCTTCCCGTTTAAATCAATAGCAAAGTCTTCAGGGTAGAAGTCAATTATGCTTGATTCCTGCATTTGACAAAATAATAAAAAAATATATTTAAGTCAATTATGAAATTGATTCAGAATGCTATGTAGTACTGTACATGGTTTTATTAGTCAAACTTCTTTGCATCCTTATTAATAGAGAGAGAGAGAGAGATTAAAAAAAAAACTATCTTTTAATAAATACCATTTACACAGGTAATATGCTAGGGCACTCCTATCACTCAGTATCAAAACAAGAAGTTAAGGGGGACAGAAGAATTCAGGACGACCGAGTTAGAGTCTCTGCGCCCCAAACAAGTGTTGTAGGGTTTCTAGAAGAGAGTAGAAACTTTTTTTTTTTTTTTTTTTTTGTACACTTAATAAAAGAGTCAGGAAAGAATTTCCCTCATCCAAACATCTGAAGTGAAAAATTCACTTCTAAAGAACTTTAAAGAATCTCTGCAATTTACCAAAAACTTCCTCCTCCTTCTCCATTATTTTTCCATCTAAAGTAAGAAGTATCTAGTCATGTACACACAATTGCAAGATGACAAAACCTGATAGAGGAATAAAACATGGATTCTTACCGGATCTGTCATGAGCTTCCTCCAAGTTGGGGGCAGAAAATTTCCACTTGCAGCTGGAAATACTCCCATAAGTTGTTCAAGAGGCTTGAACTGTTGAAAGTAAACAAGCAGATGTAGGACACCTCTAGTAAGTTGTTAGAGCATAAATAAATAAATAAAGGCACCATACCGGTTTTGAGCCCTTCTCAAAATCTGAGGGCATATCTGCAATGCCATCAAAGTCAGAAGCAAACGGAGCATAGTGAAAAGGGTAATACCAGTTCCAGGATGCACAGCCCTAGGACAGCAAAACAAGAGAAACAAATCAGACAAATTGGAAGAACGAAAGAAAAAAAAAAAAAGCCCAAATCCAAGTAGCCCAGTAACTAAAGATGACAAAACTTTGCCCAGCATCAGCCAGGAGAATGAGAAGTCCCCGTGATTAGAAAAGAAAGAGCTCTTGCCTCTAAAGGTACTCTGGACTTCAGGTTGGGACTTAACTTTTCATAGCCAGATTAGAGCGAGTGAGTTCACTGGACAGTGAATGGAGACCTCGGGCATTTCCTCGGCAGCACAGAACACAGCAGATAGACTTCTATGCCAAAGTACTCTTGCTATGGGCTAGGTTTGAGTCACTAAGGGAGACAGCCAAAAAGACAGGACCTAGCACCGTAACAACACAAAAGACCTTAGAGCAGCATCTTAACCTTAACTTCAGGGCACTGTAACATACCTTATGCTTTTTTCCTCCCCCTTGGAAAAAAAAACCCACGCACACATGCGCACGCACCTGCCAAGCAGCAGGAAATCACAGTCTTTCCATAAGGGTAACCAATCCCTGGGGCTAAGTTGAGGAGCTTATAGCAACTGGATACATTTTCAGCTTCTGGAGAGCTGCCGGCACATCTCAGACCATGGAAATACACACAGGCAACACAGAGGAGGAGTTTAAGTTCTCCGTGATTGTATAAACAGAGCAGAAACGTGCAAATCAGAAAGCCATTAGAGAGGTCTCACTAGGAACAGAAGAACTCCTTTTCTGGCAGCTCACAATTTGCACTTTTGTTTTGCAAATCCAAACCCCACTACTAATTTGTGAATTGGAGGGACCAGAGAACCTGAAATGATACACTGTACAAGGTGTACAAACGTGAACAGTATTTTCTGCAGGTTGAAAAGTATTCCTTTCAAAATTATTTTTCTATTCAATAAAAAGCACTACACGCACTTCGAGTAAGCTTTCACTTTTCCCCTCTTATTCTTCTACATTTAATCCTGGGAAATATAAAGTGCATTCCCTCGAAAGAGGCAAAATAATCCTCAAAAAGAAGAAGCGAAAGTCAGCTCAAACACATTGGAACACAATGCACGTTATAAAGGAAACGCGGCTCTAAAAGGTCTAAGTTAAGTTTTCCCCTCCGCAGCCCCAGCTATTTTTCTTAGCAGTACCACTTGAAACAGAAGTCTACTATTTTGACTTCCAATTCTGACTGAGTAAATGTCAATGAGGGTCCTCCAGCGATATTTCCGGTATAAAATTATAGAGGCTATAATTATCAGCTGCAGTTCTTCAGATGGTTTCAGGTTGTTATTATTATTATTATTTTTTTTTTTTTTAAAACAGGTGGATTTTTTTTTTAAACAGATGTTCCCCTTAATGGAACATGTTCTACCTAAGCTTTTTAAACGAGTAGAAAAGCATGCAACTAATTCTTTTGCAAGTTCTACGGACCATGAGCAGCAGTTACTGAAATCAATTCCTGTTACAATAAAGAGGAAAAAAAAAAAAAGAAAAAACTCCAAAACAGAACCCACCTTATTTTGAAGCTTCCTTTAGCCCAACAACTTCCTAATCCAATTTTCATATAGGCAGAAAGTCATTTGAGGGCTGCACCATACCGGCACAACAGACTGCCTGTACTTTTTATAAAGTTTTCTTTCGAAACGTTACTAAGCCAGAAATACCTTTCGCGCAGTCACTGCTCCTTGAGGTCTTTCTGCTTCTTAATTTTCTTGAGAGCACTACTACGGTGCTGCCTGAAGTCTCAAGCTACTCTCAACCTCCCTGATTTATTTTCTGTGCAACTGTAATCATCTATCACTCACGCGTGCAGCAGTCACTTCAGCTGAAACGTCCACCAACTCAATAGGACAAGGAGTCATCTACATACATCTCTAACTAAACCGGTTTTACACCAAGCTACACTAGCAAACGTTGCAAAAGGACTTGCCTATGCTGTTTTAAAACTGGGTAGAGGCTGGTCTGCCCACTCCTGTGCGCTTAAAGGCTCAAGTCTCCCAACAGCACATACGCAAAGGCAAAACCAGCTTAAACAGTTATAAAAACAGCACCATGACATCCGCGCAAGACCATGGCACGCTGATCACAAAGCGATGAGCACGCACCCCCTCGACCCACAAACTTCCTTGAACAAAATCTTAATTTTACAATCTTCAAAGGAGTATATATTTCAGTCACCTTGTAAATATTCTCTCCAGAACATCTAACCTCAGTTTTGCCATATACTCCCTCCTCTAAACCCTGCAGCTCCTGTTGTAAGCCAGACTGCCTTTTGCAGTGCGTTTGCACCGCCGGCCGCGCTGGCGGCTGCTCCGACAGGTTTCCAGCAAGCAGACGCCTCTGCTCATTTCTGTACTTCAGAGACATCTGGGGGTGTACAGAGCTCTAGAAAACTCATCGCCATGATCAACAGGAAAGCGCTTTGCTTTCAGTGGGCCTGCATGCAGGATCATAGGAATTTGCATGTGTAAAGGTGGCCGTCTGCTGGCTGCATTTTAACTCCAGGAGACATCGCTCCTCTGTAAGAGGAGCTACCCAGGGCCGCGCGGAGCTCAGCTTAGCGCAGCTCTCCTGCGGATCAGCCAGCCAGGGCAGCTTGTCCCCTGCTTCTGCAACAGACTGGCGCGAGCCTTGAGCTCGAACGTTTTCATCCACCGTAACGCACAGGTCAGAGCCCTAACTCAGCCGAATTAATGCAGCGGCAGGGAATAGAATACGCCCCTTTTTGGTTCAAGGGGGGAAAAAAAAGAGTAAAAGTTGAAATAAACTCGCTAATTCTAACGCTGTGTAGTTTTTTGCAGGCATGTGAGATGTATGCACGGCCTGTGCTCCAGGTTAGAGAGATGTAAGCCACCTATGACCTGCAAAGGGTGCAGTTTTATCAACATGGCACTGTGTTCAAGCTACAAAGCCCTCCTGAGGCAGTTAAACTTCATCGGCTCGAGTAGAGTCCATTCCCAGGTCACACAAAATATAACTTGCTTTGCTCCCAGAGCACGAAAATAGTTATTAACTGTCACTGCAACAAACCCCAATATGTCTAACTAATCTCTTGCCAGTCTGACATCTCAATTATCAAAAGATTTACATCAGATACGGATTACTTAAATTACAATGCACTTCATAGAGCATCATTATAATCTGTGGAGGAGACTGACAACTCTGTTCCCTTCCAATTCTTACTAGCATTTCACAGGCTTTGCCCTTTGTTTGCTCATTTAGCCATGTGCAATTAATTGCACCAGCCCTTGTATGGCTATGTAATGCAAAGGAAAAAATACGCGCTGGTTCTTAATAAACTAACAAGCACTGCTACTGTGTGTGAGCAATAAAAACTGCATTCAAATCTCGAGTGTCAGACGGAATGGGCACCCACTCATATTACTTTACAGCCTCAAAAAAAAAAAAACCCACTGCTTTTCAAAAATGAGTAATGAAATATGATTATTTACAGAAAAGAGACAGGATGCAGACAAAAGAAAAGTGAAGTTTCAGAGAAGAACTTTTAAGTACCTGATAATAGTATCTGAGAACCCAGCAAAGCCCTTCAACATAGGACTGTACAACTTTACGTCGGAATTTCTCATCAGATGCATCAACATCAAATTTATTTTTATAATAGCGTTGTTTCCAACCAGCTTCCCATAACCTGCATAAAAAATACAATTAGATGTCAATACGTTTAATTATATGTACATTTACATTTCTGAACTAAAACATAATGAAAAAGTGGACCCAACACAATAAAAGCAGCATAAAGAACACGCTCCTAGCAATCAGTCACTTGCTACTTAAATTCCAATTTCTACATCGCTTTCTACTGATCTAAACGAAAGCATGAAAACTGACGCTCAGCGGCAAGAGAATAAAACCTGATGGCCAGCAGAAGAGAAAATCCAAATGAAATTCCAAAGCTGCCACCCTGCCAAATACGTCTTCCAAATACTTTTTTAGAAACAAGGTAGATTTTCAGATCCGTGCCTGCCGGTGCCGGGATTTTTCAAAGCAACGTACTGTCCCTAAGTCCACGATTTCATCCTTCTCATCAGAAATCTACTACCAAAACTGATGGTTGAACTTTGTTCTCTAACTCTTCCAACCACTAGAAAGAAAATAAGCTCTCCACTTCTTGCCTGACGAATTTCATTGAATCTACCCTTGGCAAAGCCTTCATTTTATGGGAGTCTCTTCTCCCAGTACGTTCTATCTTCCGTTCTTCACACACTTCTCAAGCAGTGATAGCTTCTGTGCTATCCGAAGTGAGAAGTAAGCAAATAAAAAATAATTGGGGGG